AGAGGCCGGAAATCGATTATAGACTACATTTTAGAATCCAACATGGCGGCCATCGGTTCAAGAAAAACTGTCAAATACCATACAAACTGGGTATTTTCGGAAAGGGAATCACGTGTAGAGGCTAAAAATCAATGCCAGACGCCATTTTGAAATCCAAGATGGCGGCCATCGGTTCAAGAAAAACTGTCAAATACCCTACAAACTGGGTATTTTTGGAAAAGGGTTCGCGGGTCGAAACCGGAAATCTATGCCAGACGTCATTTTAAAATCCAAGATGACGACCATCAGTTCAAGAAAAACTGTCAAAAATGTATTTCCGGAAAGGGGACGACCTGTAGAGGCAAGAAATCGATGCCAGGTGCCATTTTGGGAACCAAAATAGCGGGCATGAGTACAAGAAAAACTCTAACATACCCTACAGTATGGGTATTTCTGGAAAGCGGACGACGTTTATAGGCCGGAAATTGATTATAAACCACATTTTAGAATCCAACATGGCGACCATCTGTTCAAAAAACTGTCAAATACCCTACAATATGAGTATTTCTGGAAAGGATACGACGTGTATGGGTCGGAAATCGATGCCAGATGCCTTTTTGAGATCCAAGATGGAGGCCATCGGTTCAAGAAAAACTGTCAAATACCCTACAATATGGGAATTTCCGGAAAGGGGATGTCGTGTAGAGGATGAATATCAAATCAAGTCGCCATTTTGGAATCAAAGCAAGCGGCCATCGGTTCAATAAAAACTATCAAATACCACAATATGGGTATTTTTGGAAAAAGGAACGACGTGTAGAGATCAGATATCGATACCAGACGCCATGTTGGAATCCCAGATGGTGGCCTTTGCTTTAACGTAAACTATTAAGGGGGACGTATATAGCCCCACCATCGTACTTTTCTTCTTTCCTTTATTTAACGTCGGTCTCTGTTCCGCAATCTAGTGCCAATCACCGACGGACATCGATTGCCATCCATTGACGGCAATCGAGTGTGCAGGAAGGCAGCTTCCGCACCTGCGTAGGATATCGCACCCACTCAACACACATGGGCCGGGACCAACGGCTTTACTTCCCTTCCGAAGGAAGACGTGACCAGAGATTTTTATGCCTCAGAAAAATCCCACCGACTTCGGCTGGGATTGAACCCAGACCCATTGGGGTGTTAGAAAACAGTCACGCTCACCACTACACCACCGGCGCCGGCTAACCCCAACATCGTTGTCTGCCACCATTTAGGGATCAAAAATGGTGGCAATTGGCTTTCCAAGGGACATTTAGTGGCTATGGACAGCCTCGTATCAGTTCAGTACAGTTAACGTGGGCCATTTACGGGGTAGGTTAAGCGATATTCCACTAGGAACATGAATTTTGTCTGATTAATGTTTTAGGGTATTTTGGAGCTCAAAATCTTGACTCGCATTAATTTTCCTGGATAAGGCCTATGCTTATGCGGCAATATGCTTGGCGTTTAAATTGTATAATGTGTATAGCGTATCATTAAGCAAGATGACAACGTATCGTGGAGAATTCCTCAAAACAATTAAACGCTTTAGTTTGTTTTGTTTTTTTCTTTCGTACACTGTAGATCTATTCCACAATGTATTTCCTCTTTCGATGACAAAGAATCAACCAGCGCTGTCATGTTTTATGCATTCTATTCCCCTCGTTCTTCCACTTTTTGAGAAGGGTTTCGACTTCCCTTAGAAAATCTAGTATTTTTGCACTCAGTTCGACATTACTGTCCAATGTGCAGAAGATTTCGAACTCCAAGAGTTGATTTATTTTGAACCCGATTTCTGCCGTGGTGGGATGAAAATATAATCCATATTCATTGTAGATGGGTCCAGTTTGCTAACAATTTCATCTGCTGTAGCCGGTTTATCTCTTAGGATTTCGTTGATTTCACTGTGTTTTTTACCTCCGGCGCGGCGCACCAAATTTTCCGTTCCCTTTCCAGAAATACCCATATTGTAGTATTTGACAGTTTTTCTCAAACTGATTGGATTACAAAATGGCGTCTGGCATCGATTTACAGTCTCTACACGTCGTCCCCTATCCGAAAATACCCATATTGTAGAGTATTTGACAGTTTTTCTTGAACTGATGGTCACCCTCTTGGATTCCAAAATTCCGTCTGGCATTGATTTCTGACCTCTACACGTTATCCCCTATCCGGAAATACCCATATTGTAGGCCGCCATCTTGGGTTCCAAAATTACATCTGGTATCGATTTCCAGCCTCTATAAGTCGTCCCCTTTCCGAAAATATCCATACTGTAGGGTATTTGACAGTTTTTCTTGAACCGATGACCGCCATCTTTGATTTCCGGCCTCTAAACGTCGTCTCCTTTCCGAAAATACCTATATTGTAGGGTATTTGACAGTTTGTCTTGTACCGATAGTCGCCATCTTGGAGTCCAAAATGGCACCTGGGATCGATTTGCGACCTCTACACGCTGTCCCTTTTCCGGAAATACCCATATTGTAGGATATTTGACAGTTTTTCTTGAACCGATGGTCGCCATCTTGGATTTTAAAATGGCGTCCAAAATCGATTTCTGGCCTCTACGCATAACCCCTTTTCCGGTTCCTGTCCTCACATCGCGCAGCAACATCTTATTTGGACAAGCTGTCCATACATAACATATTAAGGAAGTTGATGTGCACACTAGCGTCGCGTAGTGAGATAGTTCTGAAGTAATATGACCACCACCCGAAGGGACTTGGTCACCAGAACAACTTTGCTGAAAACAGCAACATTCTATATAGCCAGGTTCTCGAGATACAGTTTATGTAGGAAGTTCATATGCACACTAGCGCTGCGTAGTGAGAGAGTTCTGAACTGATATGAACACCATACAAAAGGACATGATCATCTGAACAATTTTGCTGAAGACAGTAACCTTCTATATGGCCAGGATCACGAAATATACTATACTAGATATATTATAGCGCCCGTCATAAGTAACATAAAAGTGAAGCGCCTCTAGCGGCCTAGTTCCCAAATAAACCTGAATCCAATAACACCGGCTTTTAAGTCTGTTCCAGGACAAAAAAAAACTTTGTCGAAGACGGTATAGCTCCACGGTATAGACGGTATAGTAATCCACCACAGCCCCCATTAGTGAAAACCCCATGAACTGTGGGTATCCTTATTCGCGGTTCCTTATTCATGCCCCCGTTACCCCGGCAATAAGGATTCCTGACTGTGTATGGATATTTCAGAAGATGTAGAATAACATTTCAAGAAACTTCTTCGAAGACACCTAAAACACGAAAACATCGAGAAAAGCGAGAAAATGGCTTGGGTCTATTTTCAGAACGGTTCCACTGCCCTAATAAAAATAACCATAAAAGAGAGCTTAACGACGTTTTCGGGGTATCATCCAAACCATTTGTGGGATAGTTTACCCATTCGGGATACAGTTCGTTTATGGTATTTGTGTATTAGGGTGTGCACCCGGGGCAAAATGACTTTTTGATGTTTAAAATGCCGTTTATACCTCTTTTTCGAGGATCTGTTAAGACACATTGCTTGTTCAATGTCTAAACTAGCAATGTTGCATGATACATTCTCGAAAGTGTATTGAAAATGTATTCAAAATTTGCATACTGTTATCTTGCCCCGGACATGCATCTTACCCCAATTAACCCTACCATTAGAAAGGAGTCAAGAACTTTTTCGTAGCTTCCATCGAAAAAAAAAATTAAAAATATGGTGAGCACAAACTGTCTCACTGTTGACTACTTTCCCCTATGACGTTCTAAACAAAACGTGACAACATCAGATGCCACTACATCAACTACATTTTTTTTGATTTGGTTAAAATAAATGAAAACGGGATAGCGGTAACCCACAGCAACTAATGAAAAGGCACCATTAACTTGTTCAATGAAAAAACTTTTGCATCTAAATCGGTACGGGCAGTTGTCGCTAAATTGAATGAAATTTTTCGAACAAAAGGTTTCTTGGATGTACATTATACACATTCAAACGCACACTCAAACAGACCATTTCCCCATTCATAGCATCAATTTGTATTGAGTCCGCACATTAAAACGACAGCCGAATAAATACATTCGATTGTCAATCATAAATCAAAGCAATCAATAACTGAATGTGCGTCCCGTTTTCAGTCCCACCAACCTACGCCGAGATAATAGGATTTCGTGGGAAGTGAAATTGATTTCAGCGAATCCCATCAATCACTACTAACAATCTGCCACCGACGGCCCCCCCAGGCTGCTACTGACTGTCAATTTTAGGACAAATTCCCGACAATTGTGTAACTGTCGGAAAGAGGCCTCGAGAAAACGTCCAATTCAATGCAGGTGGATTACATTGCTCGAGCAACATGTGATAAGGGCCTACTAGGCAAACGTGAGCAATGACTTGGAACGTCGATTTCTCTGGAATCAGAACACGCCCACGAGAACTAACTATACCATCTGATGGAGCAAACTCGGTTTGTCAGAATGAGAAGTCATTCGTTATATTTGACACATACGCCCTTTTCACATATTTGATGTTATGAAAATTGCTATTTTTATGATGTATTCGCACGAATGCCTTACATTTAATCCCAAGAATGCAGAATGAATCGATAAGGCAAATGGGATAAAAGTTGAAAGCCTTTGCTGTCATCTGAGGTAAGGCTTTGCACAAAGTCAACCGATAAAATGGTCCCACGAATGTAAGGTTTAAACCATGTTGTTTGCTAGGTATTTATCATTGACTAGCCTCCGAAAATGTGTGCTCGCAATGAACAAAAAGTTTTCTTCTCCCATAGTTATTCACGATGATCAGGACCCGATTTGGAAATGTTTTAACACTGTGAAGTGAAAATTTCAAATTTTGCATCACTCTAGTGGGCACTATAGGTTACCTTTTCTTCCCCCCCCCAAGCGCTTTCCCATTCGAGTGAATTTTCCACCCAACCCACGAAGCACTTTCATCGAAAACAAAAACAACCAAGTCCAACCGACAATGCTTACCTGTGAAAATACATCGACGATTCGAATTCCCGGAACGGTTCTCCCTGCAGGAATGTTTTCACCGCCGTCACGGATCCCTCGAACAGCTCCCTACTGCTATCTGCAGGCAAAACAAAAAAAAAATACATTCGCACAATAAATTAGTAACAGCTTCCGAGCACCGGCATTCTGTACGCTTCAACCTACTCAACAGTCTACTCCGAACCTGCGCCACGATGTCGTCGTTCAGGATATCTAGAACACAGTCATCGCTATAGTCATCGTCGGCCACAGCCCCGCCGGAGCACTTTTTGATGGCGTTGGTGGTGCTGTTGTTGGCACTGGGGATCGTGGCTTTGGCTACCGCATTGTTGGTCAACGAGTTCGATCCGGCCAGGCTCTTCTTCTCCGCTGCCGGGTCGTCGTGATTGCTGAGCTTTTTGGTGTCGCCACCGATGCCACTGTCGTCGTCGCACTTCCCATCGTCCCCGTCGCCGCCTCCACCTCCACTGTCCTCCGTCGCTTGACTTTCAGTGCACAGCCCCAGGTATCGCTTGGCCACGTTGTATGCTAGCTCGATACGGACTTCGTCCGGTGCGATTTCATACCTGCAAAAAAAAAAAAAAAAATAAAACCGGGAAAATGTTGAGAGAACATCCATTAGTGACACACAGTCTGCCATTAGCACATTTAGTGATGAAAAATTGATTGAAATTATGCCAGTAACTGCTGGTTATTACATCATCCCTTGAAGGATGCAAAGAGGGATGGAAGCGGAGAACGACTTCTGACCAGAAAATGAATTATGCACGAAAAACAAGTGCATCCAGCACTTCTCACTTTTGGATCGATTCCATGCCAAATGGAAAAGTAATGTGTCATGCCCTTCATTTGATTTTTTTAGGCATAAGATTTCGTTTTGCTTCATTAGCCCCATTCCTATGCCAAGAGCATATTAAATATTTCAACAATAAGCGGAAAATATTGTACGATGGATTGAGGAATGAGTGCTTCTAATGCAAAGTTAAAGAGGAATCATGACCAATCCTAGAAAGAGGAACAGGAAAAGAAATAAAAACCGGAAATGGAAAACCATGGATAAGAAAATTTACGTAAAAACAACATTGAGTATTCAGGAATTCTAAGATAAATTTTAGTGGGAGATCCTTCTTCTTCTTCGCATTTCAAGCTTATTGCATATCGCATATTAGCTTATTGCGTGCTCTCAACTTAGTGTTCTACTAGATGCACTTCCACAGTTATTAATTGAGAGCTTTCGATGCCTGTACCATTTTTGCATTTGTATAATTGTGTGGCAAGTCCAATCATACTTCTATGCCCAGGGAAGTCGAGAAATTTTCCAACGCGAAAAATTACTAGACCGGACCGGGAATCGAACCCAGCCACCTCCAGCATGGTCTTGCTTTGTAGCTGCGCCTTTGCCGACTGAGCTAAGGGAGGCCACCAGGGAGATCCTGGTGAATCCCATTATGAATTTCTCTTAAGAGGGAACATAAAATGCCAAATGAGGAAAAAATCCCATTAAATATTATCCCTTTAGATATTTCAGGCCCTAAGCAGAATTCCATTAAGAATTCAGTGAAAATTCCAGTTGGAATTTCATCAGATAAACGAACGAAATCTTTAAGAAGAATTATAAATAAGGTCCAGTAAAAATCCCTTAGCCACTCTTAGGGCCGATTTATTCAGCTACCCTTAACAGTTTCAATCCAATTTTTTCTTAGGCTTATTTTAATGAATGTTTTAGTTAGAATTCAGAAATAGTTCTAAAACAGAAGATTTTTATCTAGGACATTCAAATTATCCCTTGAGTTTAGACCTTCATCTTTAAAGGATCACTAGAAACTCAAAGGAGATTTTATTCAAAGATATGTATTCGAAAATCTTCGTAGGGCCTAAACACACAATTTAAAATTAAAAACAGTATAAACGAGACACAACCCAAGTAACATTGCAAGTTTTATGGAGGTTTTAAAGTTTTCTACAAGTCTAAATGATGGTCTACAGAACCCTTATAAAACCGAAATTGTTACTTGGGAATAGACCTTCAAATCATCCTGAAGAAATGATCTTAGACTTCTCCGAGCTCAACAATGATTTTCGGGACATCAAGGCTAAATGTACGACTCCAGAGAGGTTTGTACATGCTCATTACATCAGGGAAGTTATATATGTTGGCATCCGTAGAGCCTCCTTGAGCCCCCCTTGGACACACATCATGGCGAAGGTCAATGCAACAACATCCGTCTTCTGCCTCTTCGTGTTTCGTTTCGTGTGTATGCGTGAGTGTCTGGACCGAGGTAGGTGTAGCGTATATATGGTGGGTAAGAAATTTCATGTTTCATGTGTGGCTGTTTAAATTCATTTAATTTCATTTCAGTTGCATCGACTTGTGGATGAATAGGTATCATTCCACGATCTTTATGTCTCGTTGATACATTCAAATCTACTTTTGACATCCGTGCATTATTTGCGAGCATCATTGTCGGACCGTGGAAGATTTTGAAGACTAGATATGAGAATCCGAATCTTCATATGTCAGCTTTACTGGCGATAACACCATTGAAGAAGGAGTCCGCCATGGGATTGTCGGAGTTGGCCGACAGCTTCGATCGCCATGTTCAGTTGTTGGATAAACTCGATACTGCGGAAGATCATTGGAACTCCTTCCTCATGGAGTGATTGAGCAGTTACATGGACCACGGTACACTGCGGGACTGCGAAACCCATGTAGATGACGGCAAGCGACCCACTTACAAGGAGTTACTCGAGTTACTCTCCCACCCTAACAATACACAATCTCTACCAAAATCTCAAAAGTCCCACCTCGCTTGCTTGCAGTTTCAGTGCAGTGGCTTCCAAGGTCTTCCAAGGTCTTACACCGCAACAACGATTCGAATTCGTGAAGAAGCACGGGCTTTGCATCAACTGCTTGAAGAGTACCCACCTAGAGAAGGATTGCTCCAGCGATTCGTGCAAACAGTGCTTCAAGAAGCACCATTCTCTGCTACATCTACCACCGATTTGGTCGTCGTTGGTTACATCTGTACATCCGTAGCAACACCAGCTTTGGTTGGTCAACCCGCTACAGCAATCAGATCGCAATCGTCTTAATTGTCGCAACACGATGTGACCGGTACCTCACGACTCGCGAACTTGCCAGCTCGATCGTTTCCGCAATCGCTTTCGGTCGGTATCGCCCCATCCACATCGCCGGTTGATTCAATCGTTATCGGTATTCATTAACCTTCCACCACGTCCTGTCAAAGTGTTGAAGCTACGCAAGGTTTTCGGCAAAGCACTGTTGTGCTCTCCACAGCAGTGAACGAGTTTAATTACGCTGACAACAACGAACATTTCCCCAGAGCCTTGGCTAGATAGTAGCTCACAGCCCAGCTTCATCACCGATTCACTATACCAGAAGCTCCGTTTGAAGCGTGTCTAGCTCAACTCGCCGGTCAGCGGCATTGCTCAATCCACTGTGAATGTCCACTTAGGAGTTACAATAGCAAGATTGTGCTGCCGAAGTATACCATAGCGCTACCCAGCCATATCTATATCGACGTTACGCGATGGAGCATTCCACTGCTGATCCCCATTTTAACATCAGTCAGAAAATTGATATCACCATCGGCGATAAATTGTTCTATTCGGTCCTGGATCGTCAGCAAATCTCTGTCGCTACTGGGTATCCGCTACTACAGCAAACAGTTCTGGATTACATCGTCTGCGGAAAGGTAGATAATCTAGCTATCGATCCACAGGCAGTTCAGACTAGTCACGTCTGCATGAACGATACACCCGACAAGCAGCTCGAACGGTTCTGGGAAGTTGAAAACTTTGGCGTTGGGAAAGCCTACACTCCCGATGAGCAGCGTTGTGAAGATCACTTCCAACAAACCGTAAATCGAGCTGAAGACGGCAGATACATTGTCCGTGTACCTCTACGGCTCTACGGAAGGAAATGCTAATAATGCTTGGAGATTCCTACCCACTAGCACTACGTCTGCTCCAATCCATGGGGAAAAAGTTTTCTGTTGATGAAGGCCTTCGTGAAGCTTAATACGCATTCATGGAGGAATATGAAAGACTGGGATATATGGAGGAGGTGAATCCGTCCGTGTCCCGTAGTCCTCCGTTTTTTCATCTCACCATGCCATCCACCGTCCTAAGAGTACAACCACGAAGACACGAGTAGTGTTCGACGGGTCCTGCCGAGGTTTGCACGGCTTATCGCTCAACGAGGTCCTGTTGTCCGGTCCGACGATACAGGCAGCTGTACTCAACCTTTATCAACATCGCATGCATCGCTTCGCCGTCACTGCTGACGCCGAGAAAATGTACCGGCAGATTTAGACACATCAAGATGACCTGAAACATCAGGAGATCCTGTTGAGGAAGGATCCGTCAAAATCAGTTCGCGTGTATCAATTAAAAACTGTGAATCTCGCTAGCTCGCCTTTTCATGTTACTCTTGTGCTCTAACAATTGGCCACGGACGAAGGAGAACGCTTTCCATTGGCGGTCCCCGTGATCAAGTAGGGAACATACGTAGACGACGTATTCACCGGCCACGCCGACCTAGATACGCTCGCTGAAGCTTGTCGTCAGTTGATGGAGATGCTGCAGCAAGCCGGTTTCGTGCTCAGGAAGTGGGCGACAAACGATACCGCCGTCCTCTCAAACGTTTCTCGTCAGCTGTGGAAGACCTCGCCGGAGTTTGAAATCGATCGATCGCCTACTGTGAAGATTTTGTGACTTCTCTGGTTTCCCCAATCGGAGACATTCAAATTTAAGATACCAGCTCTGCCGCCACTGAACGCCGCTACAAAACGCCTCGTTGTGTCCAAATTGTCACAGCTATTCGATCCTCTTGGCCTTCTGGGACCCATGGTGGTTGAAGTCAAGATGTGTGTTCAAGTTCTCTGGGCAGAACACTTGCAGTGGGATGCAGGTCTGTCCGAAGAATACACCGCGTGGTGGGTAGTATTGAGAAAAAATACACCAGTTAGTTATTCTAGCAATTGTGCGATTTATTTTCTTTCGCAACATATGGAAGTTGTAAGTAAATTTATTCAAAAAAAATTGCCTTCCCTTTCGACGACTGTAGTTAGACGCTTCCGGGAACTGCAGTATGCACGTTTTAAAATGCTTCGATCCATAGATGTCATCACTGCCTTGATTTTAGCTTTTAGCGACTTAAGTGTGGTGTGAGGGATTCTATTGGTATCCCGTTGGACGACGCCCTATACAAAATAATCCAACGGATTGATATCGGGACTGCTTGGGGGGCAAATTTCTTCCTCCCAAATTCACGAAATATTTTTCGTAAGCCATTTCTGTGCTTTATTAGCAGTATGAGCAGGTGCTCCGTCTTCTCACTTTCCCAAGCCTTTTTTAATATTATACACTGTTCTTTCAGACACATTTACCGACCGAATCATTTCTTTCATGCATACTCCGGCGCGCAATTGCTCTCTTGTTTCGACATCTTTACGTTTACTCAACATTGTTTGTTTAAATCTTACACCTAACAGTATAAGCTATCCAGTGCTGCCAAATATATCTAAATCATGATGCACAAGCA